TAATGAAGGTTCTAATCTAATCTATTACATATTTCTAACTCCTGATGACAGGAAGGCAGAAAGCGCATTATACAAATAATAATACTCATAATAATAGCAGAATCTTTTTAACAATGACCACAATATCATTATTTTAATAAACCAAATATGAACAATTGAGGAAAATTAGGAAGAACTGATGATTTTAATTAGGGATGCACCGAATATTCGGCCACCGAAAATTATCGGCCGAAAATGGTTAAAAAGGCCCTTTCGGCTTTTAGCACCGAAAAAATATCACCGAATGTCAGAACAGGCTTACGTTGGTAACCTAACGTGTTGTTGTGATGACGTAATAAAGACGCGGCGACCATGCTCGCGGCTGGCTCACAGCCAACATGTCTGCCGCTTGGAGATACTTCACAATATCAGAGAAAGAGGCGCGGATTGCAATTTGCAAAACGTGTTCAGCTGACATTTCTCGAGGGGGTGTAACCGCAAAGACTTTCAGCACTTCGGGATTACTCCACCACTTGAAATCTAAACACCCGGACAAATATGCGGAGTATGATGAAATCACCAGCGCACACCGCTTTCACCGCTTTCCTGACCTGGCCAAGGTGGCACGCAAGTATTTGAGTGCTCCATGCACAAGCACTGACAGCGAGAGACTGTTCAGCGCTGCCTCTCATGTGCTTGATGAGAAGAGGAACAGACTTATGGCTGATAAAGCAGAGAAGCTACTGTTCATTAAAAAGAACCTCCCACTTTTCCTTAATAAGTAGACAAGGCTGGCTTATCATAAGCTTATCTAGTTCTACATGTCTACTCTATACCCACTTTCCTGAACAATTTTCATTGTGAGTTATAATTCACCATCTCAGGTTATCATTAGGGGGAAATGACAGCAGCACAGTGTTCAATATATTGTACTTTCGGTATCTAAATGATACAATGTTGTTTACATTGCTCATGAGGACAGACCACCTTATTTGCAGATTCTTGAAATTGTCATTTAATTTGTAATTGATTGTGGATTTTGTATCCAGTTTTCACTTTATGTATCTTTATACAATGTTTACTACTTTGTTTATGAGGCCTTATTTACAGATTCTTGAAATTCAATTGTAATTTCATTTGTAAATACTATAGTTACATTCATGTGGATTTATCCAGTTAGCACATTTGTATGCATGCACTTATAGGTGCATGTGTTGTTGTTGAAGGCCTGGCTGTTACAGTCTTTATTTACACTATTTTGTTGTAGGCCTACTGGCCTAGATGTTTATGCAGTTTTAAAGCCCCTTGGCTTTGTTCTGAATGCACTTTGTTGTAGTTATCCTACAGAGAAAAATAAATGTACTGTATGCATTCAAAAGTGCTGAATAAATGTTTTATGGACCCATAATAGTGATTATTATTTTGCCATAATCATGTCTATTTCCATAATCAGGTAGCTGAACAACATTGGTAAAAAATGTATACATTATATATATATATATATTTCTATTAATCATTTTCGGCATTCGGTTTTCGGCCAACTGTTTCCTATTTTCGGTATCGGTTTCGGCCAAGAATTTCCCATTCGGTGCACCCCTAATTCCAATGTTGTAGTACAAGTAGTACTGTAGTTTGTGCATAAATTATTATTTCAACAAATGTGTTCATTTTCTTCATTATTAGTCGATTTTTTTGGACGAATGCTCCGGGCCAGTGGTTACAATGGTGGGGCCAGTGATAATACAATTCCACCGGCCCTTAATGTCTACCCCTGATTTAACCTATTAGTATGTATGAAAACTATCATCCTTATCTTCAAGAGCACAAATATAATTAAGTTTAAAAGGATGTACAGAAACACCTTTTTGGTAAACTATGAGAATGAAGAAAGGTGATTGAAGGTGAGAAATGATTGTAAATGTATGTATAAATGTAAATATGTAAGTAGGAATATCTTGCAGAAATGATTTAAAGGATAATCATTGATCAGCAGTAAGTCACGGTACGTCCACACGGCAGCGTGCGTTGAAGCTTGCCGGTGGGCGTGTCTGGCGCGCGACATACAACCAATCACATTAATCTCCTGCCCCGGACACACAAGCACGCGGTTTGATTGGCTAGAGCTTGTACTGGCATATGATTCGATTGGCTGACGCTTCCGTCGAAGCTTGAAAAGTTGAACTTTCTCAACTTTCAAAGCGAGCAACGGAGGCAAAGCGACGCGACGGAACCACAATGCAGTTCGGCAAAGCGTGATGTCACCCCATTCAAAGTGAATGGGAAGCATCTCAGTTGAAGCAACGCACGCTGCCGTGTGGACGGGCCGTTACGGAGCGTCCACACAGCAGCGTGCGTTGACGCTTGGAGGTGGGCGTATCTGAAGCTTGGGGATTTTTTGCGAGCAACACGACCAACAACCAATCACATGAATCTCCCGCCCCCGACATACAAAGCAATAGCAATGTTAAAACGAAGTAAACTGGATATAAAATCCCCAAACAGGCGAAAACCTACCAGTTTCACCCACTGTCTCTGCCTCCTCCCTCCATGCCTCGCTCCTCCGGTTGGTATCCCGGTAGATGAACAGAGACTGATCATACAACACCGGGTGATTCACTACCGCTACAATGAATTTTCCCTCAATTTGTTTGAATATGAGGAAATGACCTGCGCAGTCTCTCCCAGCATACACGCGGTTTGATTGGCTAGCGATTGTACTGGCAGATTTGAATAAACGGGATTTCATTGGCTGACGCCTCCGTCGAGGCGTTAAAAGTTGAACATTGCTCAACTTTTGACGCCAGCTACGCCAGCAACGCTCCACGTCGCTTCCCAAAATGCAGTTCGGCTAAAAGTGACGTCACCCCATTCAAAGTGAATGGGCAGAAGCGTTGGAAAGCTTCAACGCACGCCGCTGTGTGGACGGGCCGTTAGAGGTGGGAATTAATAAGCATTTGCTTCCTCCTGCTCCCTTTCGGACACATATGATTTATTATTATTATTAATATGAACATTTTTATTGAATATATAAATATTATGACTATTTTTTGTTGAACATATAAATATTATTATGAATATTGATAAATACTGTATTCTAACAATACGGTATTCTGTTTTTTTCTATTTAAATATTTTCTTTTTTATCTGTTCGAAATAAAGATTTAAATGAAAAAATGAAAATGAAATCCTTGGTTAGATTTAGAGGCTTTCACATCTATTTAAATAGAACGATCTGGAGGATTTACTGAATCATTTGGATTCTGATTCTGGAACTATGTTGCTCTTCTTCCTTTTCACTTGACATTGTTCCCCAATGGTCCAGTGTTATTTTTATCGGATAAATCTTGCATCAATGTATTGTTGACCATTTGGTTGATTCGTGATGGTCGATTTCTGTTTAGCTCCCCCTAGTTTTACCTGTGAAGTGAGGTGTCAAGTTTAATAGGTTAGGATTTCTGGGGTGAAATCAGAGTTCCCGTTAGCCGGTAATTACCGGACTACGACCGGTAAAATATGCTAAAGACCGGCAAATCTAAATCTCTCCGGTCAAAGTGTCCGTTCAAAATAATTTCCGTTTAGCGCAATACCACATCAGTTGCGCAACTTGCACCATTTATGTGACAGGCAAGAATAGTCAATTCTAATGTCTAACACTTAATGTGGAGAAAGAGATGTCCTGTATGGGTTGATTGTGCGTTGATCTGTTGGTAATGCCTCGGGGTTCCGGTGGGCATGTAAACAAATGCATAATGCTGCGCTATACTTTGTGGCCTCACCCGGTTGCATAGCGACGCTTATTGTTTAGGTGTCTTATAATAAGCAGGTAGTCATATCATTAGCTAGAACTAGCTGGATCTGATCGATATGGACATAAACGCGAGTGAAGTCTAATCTGACGGGAGAGAGAGATCAGCTGCTGCTGACGAGTCGACACGCAGCTCTGCATGATCACATGCAGCGGTGAGCGGAACAAAACACACACTTCAGGTTAGAATATCACACGTAGCTATTTTAATGACCTCTCAAACTACCTAAACCAGTTATAGATATGTTTAGTTTTACTGTCGGGTCTCTCATTACTGGATCCGCAAGCTGCATGATACTGACGGGCTGTCAGGAGAGGGAGAGTGCTCCGTTTATTATTCCCGCGTTATTGTAAGTTACTGTTCACTTTTGAATAGTTAATCTACTATAATTAGTTTGTTTAATATCGAATCATATGAATTTGTTTTAAAGCACAATAAATAACAAAGAAGACCTTTGACCGGCACTTTTCTCATTTTATCCGGAAGATTTAAACTTTAACGGACATGTTGACCGGAGAAAAAATATTCTAACAGGAACTCTGGGTGAAATGTCCTCATAAATCATATTTTTGTTGCTAAATGGAACCCTTTTTTTATGCATCAACCCCTACATATTGCCGTTCTTCTTCTTCCCCTAAAAAGGTTTCCAGGGCCACATAACATCATCAGCCACAGACCTCTGGCTTTTTGGGAATACTAACAAAGAAACTCTGGAATTGAACTTGACTTAATGAATTTTTGCACCTCTGTTCCAACAGGAGCAGGAACTGCCCCGTCTGATCCGAGGTCAGGTGCATCGCTGTGTGGGGAACTATGACCGCAGCAGGGACGTCCTGATGTGTGTGTCCGTCCGCCCCGGCCTGCCCTCAGAGCTCAGGAACGCTCAGGAGGCCGTGAAGGCCTGCGACGCTGAGATGAGAGGGCTGGTCAAATTACTCAGTGAGGTCTGAGAAACATTACTGTGGCATCTAAACCAGTATGACACTGTTCAGGAAAATGATACTAGTGTTTGATGAGTCGTTATATAGTAATAGATTTCTCTAGTTAGAGGTAGTAGTTTAAAAAGAATGTTTTAGGTTTGATCAAAGTTTGTTTTAGCTGTGAAGGGCGCTTTTGTGCTGTTATACTGTTATTAGTTGAATTCCTTTGCAAAGGTTTGGCTTTGATGTTCTTATATTTATTTAACCCAAAATGAAATTAAAGCTTCTCTTTTTGTAAGTTCTGAAATATTTTTTTTATTAAAAAGAAAAGTCACAGAACAGCAAACATCGTCTGGAGGTTAATGCAGTTAAAGCAAACACGAAGAGGTAATATCTCAAAATATATCTTTGAAATACGGGGCAGTTAGGAATAATGTGATATCAAGTACAGTTAGTTTATTTACAGTTACCACAATGGAGAAAAACAATAACACTACTCTACCAAAACAGTTTCACCAGTGCTGAGACTTTACACACAATGGATCAGCAGAGAGGGGTCCTTCAGCACAGTATGAGGTCAACACAATACCAACATCTCTGACCTTCTGGCAAATATGGCAACATAATCACAGTCACTGTCTTCATGTCAGGGCGAGGACATTATGGGAAATATTCAAATATGAACTCATTAGCATAATCCAAACCATAATTCAACACTAATACACACTAACACCATCTAGAAAAAGCCGTCTAGCTTGATGAACTTGGCAGTGTACAGGGAGAGGAAGTGGAGAAGGAGACATTTTGTCCTTGGAATATGACAGGAAGTGTGCCAGCGCTTGAAAGGAGAAGTGGATTGGCAACAAAAAAATACATTAGCTTACTTGAGGAGCTAATTACTATAAGCTATGTTTTACACATGTGAATAATGTGTCAGCTCAGCACAGATAACCAAAAGTTCAATTCTTACAGCGCCCCTCCTCTGCCACTCAATGATGAAATCATGTAAGAGAGGATGCCAGGAATTAGTCTGTAGCTGTGTGTCACAACCTTTATTATAGCAATTCAAGTGACTTTCCTCTTATAGATAATTGGGGGAAATGTCTCAAAATTAAAGACAAGTACACTGCTTTCCTTTTTTTCTCTGCCGTTATACCGCCAAGGACATCATCTTTTTTTTTGATCCTCCAGAACATTTTCTCCAGTTAATGAGATCATACTGCATCAAGTAAAGACTTAACCTCTGAGAGGGAAACATATCATTGGAAAAGAAACACACCACACAACAGGATCCACAGTCTTTCAGCAGAAAAAGATGATAACCTGATCATTGTATTAAACACTTGTCTTGGTTATGTTAAAAGGCACAAGTTGGTCAGATCACATTTAAAATCTAGATCAATTGTTCTACCATTAACAAAGCCTGTCTTATCATGCATTTATTTTGACAAAAATCCTACATCTCCCTGCCTTTTGCAATCATTTTCTTCCTGAATTAGAGTGTTTAGTATTGTGTGTTGTAGACAGACAAACAACTGTTTCTTAACAAGCGAGTTACACTACACAAAAACATTTCTGGGGGAAAAGGAAAGAAAGCAGTATTCCAACATAACATTTTTAGAGATATCCATTTGTCCTTTCGGCAGGTCCGATGCTGTGTCAAAAGTCTTTGAATACGTCTTTTCACTCCGGCTGGTTCACTCCCCGGTTTCAATAGGGGAGTGAACAGTTGGAGGAGCCTGACCTGAAGATTTCAGGCACAAATAGTCTGCAGCGCCAACATCCTTCACAGCGTCAGATTTCTCTTTTCTTCCATCAGTTGTCTTAAATCCAGACAATATTTACAGTCCAAACGCTTGAGCACAATACATCGTCACTGGATGCAACTCCATTCATTTTATTAGTCCAAAATTCTTTAAAACCTCTTATTGACACATTCGAGTCACACTGCCACAACATCTCATGCGTCCACTCTCTTTAAGCGGCCAGCCTCCAGTCTGTTTTGGAATGTTACACATGTTGACATCACAAAGGAAACCAAGGGAAAAAAACACAATTTTAGCAAGTCCTGTCATGTTTGTAGTCTTTTTCTCAAATCCTGTGAGGTCCTGATGAAAGTGATAACCCACACAGTAATATTGTAATGTAAAACATTCCATGTAAATGTCACAGAGCAGATGCAGTAAGACAGTGTTCGAACAGCATCGCCTCCAACAACGGGACGCAGGTGTCTCCCCGTGACATTAGAGAGAGGGAATTCAAACCAGACAATGCACTATAACAGCGTGGGCAGCGGGGTGGGGGACAGGTGCTCCTTCGGTGCGTATTTGGCAAAAAAGGGCAAGAAGACGGTGAGCATGACTCCCACGATGGCCAGCATGTAGCCCCAGCCGATCCCACACTCCCCGGCGTAGTAGATGTCAGAGTCCCCGCAGAAGGACCTCACCAGAGAGGAGTTCAGGCCGAACGGGTACACCAGCAGACCGGCCCCCATGATGAACACTGAGGGGAGAGGAAAGGAGGGTTAGATGGAGAACAAAACAAAAACACTTAGGCCACAGCATTAACGATGGCACAGTAAATCAAGCCTGTTACAAACAATCTGGGAACGTGTTTGGTAGTTATTTATATTTTGAGCAACAGTTCATAAACTTGTCCAACCACCTCAGAAGAATATATTAAAATAATACTTTAGAAATGCAGATACTGTTACGTGCTTTTATCTGCTACCACCTTGATTATTGTTGTTTATAATTTCCTGTTTATTATTTGTAACTTTTAATGTTGGCCTTCATGTGGTTTATTATACACATGTTTTATTCTAACTTTGAAGCACTTTGTACTTTGTGTTCATAAGTGCTTTATAATTATCCAGTTTAAAAAAAAAAAAAAAAAGTTGTATTATTTTGATATTCCTATATGCACTGGATAATTAATTTAGCACAAAAGGTTCAAGATGCAAGGCTTTATTGTCATGTGCACAGTGGCTACAGTGTAGATATGGCAATGGAATTCTTCAGGTCAGGCTCCTCCAACAGTGCAACATGAATAGGACATAAAACAAATAAAACAAACAAATACAAATAAAATAGTGCAAGAGAATGTTTTGAGATGTGCAATGTACAAAATGAAATATAAATAGTGCAAGAAGAGTCCATCTACAAGTAAATGGAATGTGATATATAGATAAATAATTAGCAAGAAGCAAACCGATGAATGTTTTTGGATGTTCTTTACAGAGTTCAGTTGGTTTTAGACCTGGTACTGCGAACCACAAAGATTGAAAGATACAATTATAAAGTCTGATCTTGCATAGATAAAGTCTTATGGTTTAATTCAGAGTGAATATATTTAAGGTATGTTAAAGGGTTTATTCTCCTTAATAAAACACACGTCTTGTTGTATCCACTGTGCTGCTGTGGCAGCTGAGAGCCACATGGGGGCAGTAGAGCTTCAGCAGAGACAGCCCACAGTGCCTGACAGACAGTTAAGAGTGTCATTTAGATACTTCGTCAGTGCTGAAGTGCCTCCATTTGCACTAATGATTTGTTCCCTTGTGTTGCACATATAATAAATCATGACCTAGATAGTTTTAGAAGTCCTGCAGTGGCCGAGCTTTTAATGTATTGAACAACAAAAGCGCTGATGACCTTTAACTGCCAGAAACTTCAAATGCAAAATGATTAATGTCTACATAAATCCATTTGCACTCCTCATTTAAAAAGAAAAAAAGAAGCTCCTGGTGCACTTCTGCTGCGATCAGCTTTATCTTCCTCTCTGCTCGGAGCCGCTCACTTTTACAAATTGAGTCTCAGGGCCCCGTGCTGCCAAGCCGTTATTGACTGTACTACGGGCTATCATTGCTGCTCTTAGTCATCCCGAGTGCCGGCTGGATTTCCATCCCAATGCCAGGTGTCAGGGTTGTTTTAGCTGAGGAGAGCTGGGGTTACTGGGAAGGCTTGAACTCGTGAAAGTGAGTAGAAAACACAACAAACATATATTTTAGTTCTGCTATTGATTTAGAAGGATGTCGGTTTTTCCAACTTTCAAGGGGGCTCATGTGAGGAGGTATCTGTTTGAGGATCACATCGATGGTTTGTGTGGGCAGTGAGGAGGAGAGGAAGCTTTCCCTCATGCTCTAGTTGCACACTGGGGGCTTTGGGATTGAATGTTGGGGGGGAAAGGATGATAGGGAAGTGTTGTCTCGCCCGGTGCCTCTCTGCGGACTTAATTGAGTCTCCTAACCCCGCTGCCATGTTATATCTGCAGGGGCCCTGCCTAATGACACTTTAATGACCTTCTTTATCAAGCTATCATTGGCTTTTATGGAAACAAACACAAAGCAAGCGCGCAGAACCCCAAGTCCTCTTACCTGCTAGTCTAAAATGATAAGACAATCTTGGACACAAAATGGATAATTGATTGAACAATGCATCATACTGGGGTCCAGGCAGCAGGGTCCAACAGGTGTCAGGCAAGCAGGGCGGCTGTCTGCATCAGATAAGATGCAGCTCTTGATCTCTGTGAGCTTTTAATGAGGAAGAGAACTGCCGAAAAAGCTGCAAGAGGCTAATTCCAAACGGATCAATTGCATCCTTCAGATCTGAAACCAAGCCGAATCATTTACACGTTTTAAAGGCGATTTTACACATCAAAGTGTGTTTACATGTCTTGCAGTACTGTTGGATAAAGCCGCCTCTGGCTCCAGAGGGAGCCGTGTGGAGTCTGATAGATCGCCTTCAGTCATCGCACACATGCTTACACAAACACAGAATCTCCCACTGCACTGATCACAGTCAAAGTTTGGGCAAGAAACAAGAATTGGTAGAATAAAAAAGCCTCCCTTTAAAGTAGTGTAATGTCATTTAAATGCCAGAACACAGGATGCATAATGCAGAACAATGAAGTCTACATTTTGTGACAAACCTTTAATTAAAGGCTAGAGAAAACCTAAACTGCACACTGCAGGGTGGATCAACTTCATTTCAACAGAGTCTTACATGGCCCAGTAATCTAATCCTATGAGGATGGGCATGTAATGAAACAGGCTGACATGACACTTCATGCAGCGAGACTAAAGCCTCAAAGTGATTATTACTCGGCAGCGAGGAGACTGTTTTACATGTGGGCTGCAACAAGTGAATGCCTCTGTGCTGTTGGCAACATTGACTACGTTAAGAAAGGGAACATTTTCTTTTGTTAAATGGTACTGTAATGTTATAATATTAATCACAAAAAAACTAGATTAAGCTTTAAAAAACAACAGCAGTCAAAAGGTTTTGTTTTCCCCTCCTTTCCTGTAGTGGGTTATTTAGGTTTCTGTGCATGTAAATGGTGTTCAAAGGTTAAAATCCCAAAGTTCCCTCCAGGGGGAGTTTCTCTCCCACGTCCTCATGAAATACAAGATCGACCTCCCCCAGTACTTCGAATAGTCCCTTACAGCGGTCTTAAAGAGCGGTCCACAGCAGCCACCAGGCAGTAATAAGTTACAAGTGCTTCCATCCATTACGCTCTACTTGACCAAACGAGCGGACAGTTTATCCAACATCCCATCATCGGTCTGCATTTGTAAGAACACGAACCAGGAAGCGAAGTCCGGTCCTTTCTCAGAAAAGAGATGACTGAAAGTGAGGAGGTGTGAGGAAAGAGTGTCAGCCTGGATCACATGAGGGCTGCTGAGTAACCACGGCGATCATAATGGCTCAGAGATTATGAGACAGTGACTAAAGGAGAGACCTCAAGTTAAACTGGGCAGTGAGTGCACTAATGTGTCCCAGTTTCCGTGAAACGTTTCAACGCAGCGACAAAGAAGGGGGGTAGGATTTAAATTTGATTATGAGTTCAACCTAAACCATATAAAACTTTGTACAATATACCCTCGTTCAAATTAAGCTTGACTTTTCTTTCAATTTATTTATGATCTGTAAACAGTACCAGCTACTTCTATCGTTTGAAAAGGTCACTAGAAAAATATATACACACAGTATAGACTCACTGGACACTTTATTAGGTGTTCAATTGCTCGTTAACGCAAATATCTAATCAGCCAATCACATGGCAGCAACTGAATGCATTTAAGGTGTAGACATGTTCAAGACGACCTGATGAAGTTCAAACAGAGAATCAGAATGGAGAACAAAGTTGATTTGAGTGACTTTGAACGTGGCATGGTTGTTGGTGTGAGACGGGCTGCTCTGATACCTCATTCACACCAACGGTGTTTCAGGGCCGGTTCGGAGCTGGAGCTTGAAAAGCACCGGGTTTTCCTGTTCACACAGCAGCGGAGCAGCCTCTTAGCTCCGGAATCCGGTTTGTTTCAAGCACCAAAATGTTTTCCGGCTAGAGCAAAAACACCGCATACGTCACGCTTACGTCGAGGCGGGGGCAAGGGCGGGATCAACTCCTGAACAACAACAAAAAGCCTGCGTATTATCCAGTTTATACACAACGATGGAGAAACTTAACAAGCAGCAGTGGTCCACTGAAGAGACCAGCTGGGAATCTGGTCTTCCGAAGAGGTACAGAGGAAGCTGGAGCACAATCGGCCATTGTTGTTGTTGTCGGTGTCAGCTGTGAGGGGTTTTCGCGCGGTTTGGCTTTATGAAGCAGGCACCAAACGGTTACATCATGATGCAAACGATGACGCAATGACGCAGCACCGGTCAGACTCTGGGCGGTGTGAAAAGAGCCGGAGCTAAACCGAAGAACCGGTTCTGAACCTCAAAAGCTCTAGCACGGAGCTTGAACCGGAGTTGCGTTGGTGTGAATGAGGTATGAGTTATTCAGAAACTGCTGATCTACTGGGATTTTCACGCACAACCATCGCTAGGGTTTACAGAGAATGCTCTGAAAAAGATTCCAGTGAGTGTATATACTTTGTTTATTTACAATGGTGTACTTATCTGTTATTTATTTTTCACCTATTGTGTTATTAATAACGTGTCCCTACTTTGTTATTTTGAATATGCAAGTCTCTTACTTTATCTGCACTATTCTTCTGCTGTTGTAATCAGGTTCATTTCAAATATAGAAATTCAGATTCTGACCAATAGTTGTTACGACAAGTTCTCATTCATAACACTCCGTTCGATGTCTCACTATGGGATGCGCCTCATCGCGGAGCAAACAGAAGCATCAATCTCATTACGCCAATCCTGATTGGCTGGTGATCTTGACGTCAGCGTCAGGGAATCACCCCCTATAAGTAGCTTGCTCCACGACGCATGCATCATTCAAACACCTCTTCTCGCTTCAGAGCACATCTCTATAGTAGCCAGACAAGCTTAACGGTCCACAGACTGAACCCAAATATAACCATTTCGGTCGACGGGCGCTCGCCGGCTACTCCTTCTGCTTCGCAAGAAGACGGTAATACTAACGCCAGTTAGTATTAAAATCGACCTCGCCGTTCTTTCCCCGGAAAGTAAGGTACGGTTTTGATTTTTCTCAAGCTAGCTACGCACCCGTTGCTAGCTAGCTTCCCCTTACTACCGACACCACGG